AAGGCATAAGCTTTCTGCTTATGCCCTTAAAAAGGAAGGGTGCGTCTTCAAATATCCAGATCCAGAGTTCCTAGTGTAGTGAATAGAGTGATGGATTAGAACTCTGGAGAGCATGGTTCACATTCCTGTTCAGCCATGGAAACTGACTGGGTGAATGGAACTGGTAAAACCACTCCTTAGTTATAACCCAGTTCCGGAATTGACAGCACAAAACAACAACAAGCCAATCAAGATCTGTAAATTACCTTCTGTTGTTGAGCTCAAAAAGATATTAACCTGCTAGGCATTTGGGGCTTGAGAGAAACTGCTGGCCAACATCTATCCAGTGAGCTTTATGGCTGAATGGGGGTTTGACTCAAGGTCATTGTGCCTAGTCAAACATCTCGTGGCTAGAAATGGGGATGAAGTGACAAAATGGTGCTTTGTCTTGGTTCATGGGTCGTCAAACTTGATGACTCATGAATTGCCCCCCATGACCCGATGAATAACAAATCAATTTGTAATTCTTCGGCTCTTTCTTCGGGGCACAGCAAGAGGAGGGAAAGCAGGGATCAAAGCAATCCCACAGCACTTTGAGTCCTTTCCCCCTCCTCTTGCTGAGCGCTGCGGGGTAGAACAAGAGGAGGGAAAGCAGGGATCAATGTGATCCCGCAGCGGCTGGGGGATCCCTTTGATCCCTCCTCATGGCATGCGGGGGTTGGATTTAGCAAGCCGCCCAAAGGGAAAACTCCTTTCTGCTTATGCCCTGATCCGCAGGGGCATAGGTGGATAGGGAACGAAGGGAGGAATATTAAAAGATTATATTCATTGCTTCATATTCACTGTGGTCTCGACCCCAAGAATATGAAGCAACATTTATCTGACGAATAAGAGTTTTTTTAAACAAATATCCTGATTCATTTTTATATTCATCCCCATGTCTACTCCTGACATTCAGTAGACATTGATCACTATTACTTCTGTTTCCCCAAAAATAAGAGCTAACCTGAAAATAAGCCCTAGTATGATTTTTCAGAATGCTCATAATATAAGCCCTACACCAAACATAAGCCCCAGTTAAGTGAAACCTTGCCCTCCACCATTGTGCAGCACCAGGAGATGATGACATGACTGTATTTGAATAAATGTAGATTGTTGTACATGAAAAAATGAAATCCCCTGAAAATAAGCTCTACTGCATTTTTGTAGCAAAAATTAATATAAAACTCTTGTCTTATTTTTGGGGAAACACGGTAGTGGTGGATGGCTCAGCTTAAAAGGAAATCAAGCTTTTGGGTAGCACTGTATGCAGTCCAACAAACTGCCTCCAAAATGCAGGGAGATTTCACTGAGTCACCACCTTAGTGTAAAGATAGTCTAACAAATAGAGATGGGACAATGAGAAGCCAAAAAAGGGGGGAAATGCATTATATGTGTGAATACACTTTTGCATTTATTAAGACACCCCGGGATCATGAGTGCACTACATAAGTTTGATATGGAATTCCTAGGCGAGGAGGCAGAATATTCTTATTTGTGTGTAGCTACAAATGTATCATATTAAATCTTGCTTTGTTTTGGTTCTTGTTGAAAATAATTTGGGTCATCTTTATGTGTTGTGTCGAAGGATGGTCAGCAGGGGGTGCTACAGACTTATTAGTAAGCTGGCTATACAATGGCTGATCATAAATCTCTGACTTGGCTTAGAGAATTTGTTTAAAGATAAAATTGAAATAAGGTACCTAATGAACTTGATCAGGCTTCTAAGTATAATTATAGGGTTCTGAGATAGAGAATGTGAGAGCATTTGGTGGCAGTAGGAGGTGCTAGAGAACTAGGGGACAGTTTGGAGATTGTACCTGGGCCAGTAACCAGTGTGGTGTAGTGGACAGAGTAGGACTCAGATTTGAATTCCCACTCAACCATGGAAATTCACTGGAGGTGTGCAACTGGCAAAACCAATTCTTAAATACCTCACTTACCTTAAAGACTGTATTAAAGTCACTGCAGGTCAGATCTCACCCGACAGCATATAACAACAACAATCTCAGCCATGAGTATTGCCCTTCGAATGGCTTTGAAAAAGTTTAACCATTCAACTTCCTTCTTTCAGCATTCCTAACTGCATTGCTTTATTATAAACTGTTGGCCATAAAATAAACGACAGAAAGAAAAATACAAAACATAGTCCTGTTTTTGTATGTCATGTCACCCTTAATCTGTTTTGCCACTTCTACTTGTAAACAGACTGCAAGACCATACTGAGAAGTGCTAATCCTTTCTGTTGTAAATGTTTCGTAATGTAAGCTGACTGAATATTAGATTTCTGGCTGTGGAGCCAGAGGGCATTCAGTTCCCTACTGTGCATTTCAGAAGAGCCAGCCTGTATGGCCTTGGGCAAGCTGTGCAGTCCCAGGATGCCCCAGAATAAGGGAATAATAAACCTGAGTACTCTCTACCTAGAAAACCCTGAAAAGGGCTGCCATAAGTCAGAATTGACTGGACAGTGCACTCTTATTATTTTATTTCACCTTAGTGGAGCATATTGAGCAATAGGTATTTGTATTGTCCTTTCTGAGGCACAAGAGTATTTCACATAAAGATTAGACCTTGTTCTGGAATTGGATAGATAGCAGCCAACTTCATGATGTGGCAAAAGTGGGAGTCTCCTGTCTTTTTGCACTAACTCTCCTGATTTGCAAAAGGAGCTGTCCCCCAGAACTATTTTAGCTTTCACATTACATTGTGATTTAAATTGGTTTTGACATCTACACTGCTAAAATTGACTCATTTAAAAAGCTCCTGCTGGCCAGTGTAAAAAAACTCGCTTTGCAGCCCATATAAATCAATTTCACCCTTGTGTTAGAACGATAACATCTAAATCGATTTAAATGATGGTTAAATGTGGTTCTTATTGCCAGTGTGACCACAGTCTAAAGTTTTTGCAGTCCTTTTTCTCTGGCTAAACAGGTTGTCTTGTGAGGACAACTGTACTACTGCAGAGCAGAGAAAAAGGAGCCAGACTAGCCTGTCTCCTACTGAGGTAAAAGGTTGTGCTCCTAATCTGGAGATGATTAGTGAGCCTTCCCCTGCCAAAAAACCTTCTTATTCCTGCCCCTTTCCCCTACCCAATACTTGTGGCCTAGGAAAAAGAATAGGTTCAATAACCCACATTTAAGGCATACAGCTTGCAGTCGGAGGACTTACTTCAGCCAAAGCTTACGAGAAATGTATGTCACTTACACATTCAAATATTGTCCCACACTGTATGTCCCTCTTTCCCGTTTCATCTGCTTTCCCAAAAAATATTCACATTGTTTAAGTAGTGGATCATTTAGATTGTTTCTTCTATCTAGATAGGAGCAGTTGACTTGCAGACATTTCTTAAAATCACCTTTGGAGACCAAGTCATTCCTTTTCCATTTTCTTTTATTCTCTTGGAGAAGGAATGGTTATACAGGTATTCCTAAAAGGCCAGGCATATTGTTATTTCATTTTCAAGAATGGTTACATAAGAATGAAATGACTGATCCACAAGTACTCACGGTAAATGTTCCCTTACATTATTTTTTGACTATTCTGGCAGAAAGGAGGATGTATTTCAGAATTATTTATTGTTTAATGAGCAAGAGAGAGGGCAATGTCAGGCATAAAAAGAGTAAGAAAAGTCCTGACAAATTGAGAATGAATACATTCCATTCTGATTCGTCTGGTGGTGGGTATTTTATGGTTTCCCTGCTTATTGGCATGGGGGAAGGCCATCTTAGAAGTCCTGAGGTTTGGGTACATAGATCTTTTGTTCATGTATCATGCCTTCCCCATTGGTCTTGTATCCTTGTATCAACTTTCTGGAAATCAAGGTAGTTCATTTGACCCTCAAACAATTCTAGGTTGTACTAAATGGTAGACTTACTTTTATGGCTGTCAGCTTTGTTAGCAAGAGAAACTTGTTTCATAACTAGCAGTTTTTCTGTTGTAAATTTCGGTAGCTTTTTTG